ACTGCACCTGCGTTGGCAGTTATGTTGGTCGCACTACTAGACAGCTTAGCCAACGTGTTAGTGAACATCTCCCATCGTGGTTTGGCAAAGGACAGACAAAAACAAGTCGTAGCTCAATTCTGTCACACTTAATTGATAGTGGTCATGTGGTGGAAAAAATGAGCGCTTTCAAAGTAGTTCATCGTATCCATCTGAATCTTTTTAATAGACTTCGTATTCGTCTATTGCACACAGGTGAGGCGATAGGCATTCGAACTATTAAACCTAAACTATGCATTCGAAAAAGTTCGTACAGCCATTATCCCTCCCTTGCTTGGCCTATTAAGACATAACCAACTAAAGACTTCTACACCACCCCTTGTTTATATTTTCAACCTCTCCCTCTCTTATCATCCCTTAATCTTATCTTCATTATAAACGTGTTTCATTTCCTTCCCTTACAGTCTAACATTACTGAATCGGTTCATTTGCTTTTACTAGCCTTTATCGACTACTTCCACCTGAACATTTGTTTGAATATACTGTTTTTCATCAGTATTCGTGTTATCACAGATTGCCTCACTTTTTCATCCTTATTATTGATAAGACCATTATTATTATTATTACTATTAATATTATCATTACCACCATTATGACTAACTACATAATTTATATTCACCATCGTATTATCCTATAGACAAAACACCATGATTGGTTTATATTTGAATTTTTATTTGTAAACTTATATATATTAGAGTGAAGCCTGATGAGATCTAATTGAAAACAGCATTATTGTTCGCTTAAATGTGTTGTTCTAAACTTTTATTTCATTTCTATCTCATTTTCGTTTAATAATAAAGAAATAAATTAATTCTACATAACTGAAGGTTAATTATATAAATAAATTTTATAGACAGAAAATGTTGCATATGTGTAAGCGTTTGTTCGCATATAGACTAGTGTGTCTGTATATATAACTATGATCATTCTGCGAAGAGTTAATTGACAGGATATTGTTCAATCAGCAAAATTTAATCATGAACTAACCGCATACAACAACACAACAGGAAATGAAAAAAAGAGAAAAAGACATCAGGTGAAACACGCGCATACAATGAGTTTAAAACAGCAACAACAAAAAAGAAGGAGGAAAATAGGCACAATTATAGAGCTAGAGGATGTGGTAGGCATTCTACTACCCTAGTCAGTTTATTCTAATGAAGAAGTCAAAAAATGGAGTTGAAGTTTATTTTAAACGGCTGCAACCAACTATAAGTGGGGGAAACAAAACACTTAGTGTTATTAATGAGAATTTTTAAGCTATTAGAGTTTTGAAAAGAGAACTTAAGTGTAATTTAGCACATTTCATTCACGTCATCATCTTAGCATAAAACCATCTTATGAAATATATACTGAGTCTATTATATTTCATTGCATTATAGTCTACTACGTACAAGCTATTTAACTCACTACCTCAAACTGAAAAAAACAACAACAACTTAAAAGCTCTGAAATAAAGTAGGTGTTAGGGAATCAACGTTATCAATAACTCGAATTCCAACCATTTCCAGGAAATCGTACAGAGTTATTCTCCATCTGTTTTGCAAATAGTGCGATGGAACTTCTCACTTCCCGTCTTATGATTACCATATTTGATGATATTAGATAATTGAAGGTAGTCGGCCACAGGAGGCCTTCAACCCAGGTTTCGTGTTAGTTGGCACTCACCAGTCAGCAAGGCGTATCTCCAACCTTGAAGGAACTCATGTCCCACCCCTCTGAGATTCGAACCCGCATCACCCAGTACCGCCTGCAGTTACAGACGTTATCATTGAGCTGTTCGGGCTCGTAATTGACCTCCTGTAGGACTGTAGTGGGTACTTTCATTGGACACTAGTAACTAGTGTGACGTGTCTAGTGCTTTCTTTTGGTGCAGACTGAATTCTATCAGTCAGGTTTGCAATGTGGCCACCTTTCTAGGTAGCTGACGAGTTCCAACTAGAACGAAACCTAGGTCCAAGGCTTCCTGTGGTCGATTGCCTTCAATTATCTAGTATCACCAAATCAATGTGCACCGTGATGGTGAGCTACCTAGAATGGTGGCCACATTGCAAAAGCTGACTGACAGAATTCAGTCTGCACCAAAAGAAAGGACTAGACACGTCACACTAGTTACTAGTGTCCAGTGACTATCATATTTTTTAAAGTATCAATTTTTTATTTCTGTGATTACAGTTCGTTCTGCTGCACCCAGTATTCTTCTTCTCCCAGCATTTTCAGAGTAAATCACCGTCTGTTATTTTGTGCCGGGGCTAAGACACTGTTCGAAACCCGGCTGGAAATAAAACGGTTGTCATCCCAGTAACTGACAAAGTTTCACAGTATTATTCGTTTCTCTTAGATATCAGAATTCGTGTGCATCATCGTATTAAAGCCATAGTTTTCCGACCTCACTTGTGGGTGTTTACCAACCCAGTGACAGGCCCCTCTCAGTCAAATGTGTCTGTTTAGTTCTTTTTTGAGAATAATCTAGCTTTTGCTATGTAAAAAAATAGGGCCCATATGTTATAAAGTATGAACATTTATCAACATAAGGGTAATTTGTGAGTAAGACCAGAGTCTACTCAATCTCGACTATACAAAGCCATTTATGGGGATGCTTCTTAGATTACTCTTGGTTTATTTTGTTAAGCTTTTTCATCCCGACTCAATTAACAAGAAAACTAAGAAAAAAATCTGATATACTGCAATCTGGAAGGTCATTCTTTCCCCCGTTTTGCTGACATACATATCACATCTGAAATGTTGACCTGCACTTGCGATGAAATAAAGACAATATTGAATTGAATTTTTGATTTTCCCGTCGGTTGATTGGACCGAAGTGCTCGGTCTCAGGTTGACATGTCGGCTTCTTGTGCGGATGCTTCGACGATGTCTGGGCATTTAATTAGTATACAATTGGTGGATGGTGACTAGCAGTGGAATCCAGGACGCACATTTCGTCCTATTTGGGATTCGTCAGCTGGATTATTATATGGCCATACATAGTCGAAGCATCTGCACAAGAAGCCGACATGTCAACCTGAGACCAAGCACTTACATCCAATTAATCGACGGGAAAATCAAAAATTCAATTCAATAATTAATATGACCCGTTGCACAAGAGGTGGCTCTCGTGGCCCAAGTCGTCTAGTGGATAACGCTTTGGCGTTTGAAACTATGGGCACTGGGTTCGAGCCTCGGTGAGAACATCATCATCACTCACTGAGAAATGCAGGTACATCCAGCTGTCGAGTCCCAAATAGGACGAAATGCGCATCCTGGATTCCACTGCTAACCACCATCCAACAATTGTATACTAAAGACAATATTGTTTAAGTGACCTTCGAAGAATTTAGGAATCAACTAGTTAAAAGGTTAAGCAATCTAGTGACAGATTTCTTCATCAATAACACTAAATAATCAAAAGCTTGATAGTGATATAGAATTAGGCATTATTATAAGTCCATAGAAAATAGATGAGTAACTGCTAAATGGCTTTTTTAGTATTCGAAAGTCTACTGTCATATTTTAAAAACATTACTATGAATTATTATTATTAATAAAATAGCTTTTTTTATTCCTGTACGTTCCCAGTGGAACACAGGGCTTCAAGCTAGAGGCTTGAATTTTCGTTAGCAGTGGTGTTTATTTTTACGGAATGGGGTTGCTAGCCTCACACCTAACCTTCCCTCTTTACCAGTCTTCTTATTGGCTTAGCGAGGTAAAGGAGTCAGTTGGCCAGGGATCGAACCCCGAACCACATGCGTAGTCGGCGAACATTCTAGCGCTGTGCCACCGACGCAATGGAATAGTTTAAATAAGATAAAATACAAAATGAGATGCGTCATTTATGTGTGTTAGTGGTTCACAGAGAGAATGCCCTGAGTTGAATTCCCAGCTAGAGCACACTTGAACGTTATCTAGCTGTTTATTAAGCTCGGGAAATAGGGTGGTTTGGAGATGAGGCTAGTGTCCCCACTCCCGTAGAAACAACACAAGCACCATTGGAACTTCAAAGCTTATAGCCTAGAGTACTGTGTTGTGCAAAGCATAGAAAGAAGTGGGGGAGAAACAACAATTTATTCATAGACAATAGTTAAATAAAAGTTAAAGACTGTTATAATATATACCATACTGAATTCAAAAACTGAAATGTTACTCAAAAACCACTCTGCAATGTGTGTGGACTAGTGATGCTACCTGGCTGCTCGAACCTTGATACATACCGCCTGCCGCTACTACCGACTGAATGGTTTAGTGGCTTTGCTGATCGACTGATGCAGAGATGATGGTCTAACTAGACTGTTTATTTGAGGAAATAACAGTAGGAACAGGGTTTACGTAGATGAACTTGCGGAAGTATGATTACAAGACATCCTTACATCTACCCATATGAAACACGATAATCATAATATACAATGGTGTACTATGTCATGCCAGTGGTGGTTTTGATCACTGAAGACACCAGGATAATGTTGACCCCTAAGGCGAATTCTCCTGCCTAATCAGCCATAATCCTAGTGCTACCTACTGAACTATTTACTATACAGAAGGAAATGCTTCCAGATGTTGCAAATTGATAAAACTCATGGACATTGGATTTTAATCTTCTTGTGACACAGAGGTCCTTGCTTCAGTCATTTATGGTATTTACTGCTGAAAAGCAAAAACAAAAGACTTACATGGAGATAGATGTCCAGTGCTGAGTGGTTTTCATTGACTCCCTGAATAATATCAGTTTATGACGAAGTTCATCGAGGAATTGACCACGCCTCTCCGTGGTCATTATTATCATTATTTCACTTAACATCTTTATTTTCTTTAAAATCGTAACTATATATAATTATTTTGAATAAAAAGACATAATTTAGTTATGGAATACTGATCAAAATAGTTTTAATTACATTATAAAATGTAAGTATTCATATTGAATGTATCCATACTAATATTATACGTTTTATTTTGAATTTTAACTGTAGCACATCATATCTTGGTGATCATAAACAAAAGCAATATTTGACAATGTCCTCCATCCTTGCATCGAATTCATTACCTAATGTGACGCCAAATTCGAACTGTCCAACTCTTATAAACCAAGAGTTATCTCTTCAGAATACTGCTGATAGCACCGCTACTACTGTTAGTAATAACAATAATAGTAATAACAGTGGAACAAATCATTCAAATGTTATCGCTCAATCTGGTTGGAGTGGGACACTTACGAACTGTTCTGAAATACAGATAGCAAATGATAATCATTATGATGAAGGCCAAGAATTATGCGAAACAGCAAGCCGTCAGAATATATCGAAACTGGAAGATATTTTAGCTGGGATGTCACTTTCTACATTTGTAGAACCTATAAAATCTAATGAAGGTATTGTGAAAGAAGGCGGATCACTAGAGCGAAGCAGTTTGGCACCAGAAAATGATGAGAACTCTCCACATCAGGTAATCACTAACATCTTGTAACCATCTACGTTAGTGTGTTCCAAAATATGCTAATTATTTGTTAAATATTGAGATTTGTTTTAAGTTTTTAGGGATTTTGCTTGATTTTAGTGTAGATATCAGTTGTACTGATTGAAAGTAGCGCTACATTATTAGGTAACAGAAGTCAGAATCCGTAAGTCGTCAGATTCTAACTCAGGAATGGTAATGGTAATGGACCCACCAAATGACCTGAAGGTACTGGGCTCGACACCTGTCGATACCGTTGGTATGCTTTGTTGAAGAGTTTGAAACTAGGAAAAGTTTTTAATGATTATCTATACATGATATTAATTCATGACTAAATCTACACCGATATTAGTGAAATGTTTACCTGGAATAAAAAGACCTCAAAATGAAGTCAGCTAGGCACTTGTCATTTGCCACAGATTAAGAATTTATAAGTTGATGATATGCTTTTTAAAGGAACGATCATATTTTGGAATTCATAAGATGTGATGGGATAATGAATGACTTAATCTGTCCTTTCAAGCCTTTATTTTTAAATACTATTCTTATTCAGTCCAATAGGATGCTGAGGCACTGAACGGGAATCTTCGAAGCAATACAGCGTCAATATATTATTACTTCCTTTACAAGCAGTGGTGAAGTATTTGTGAACACTACAAAATAGATAATATTATTATTTTACATCCGATTTGTGTAAGGAATTTCCTTTACTAAACGAGTCATTATTATCGTTGTGATTGCAGACACACTGCGCCAAAATCATTGAGATTTATAAACAAAATGCTCATGTCAACATTAGTAGATAAGTTACTGTGGAGACTGAAGAAGAAGAAGTTATTGAAAACAATTGTTCACTGTTCTAAAATCTTTGTAATCGAAGAGAAGCGAAAACAGACTACGTTCGCTTCAGTAAGATATAGTTATTTGATTTAAGACTGCAATTTGACAGTAATAATTAATTCAGAAAATGACCAAAACTGCACACCTTCTAGTGTAAGCCCAGGGTTTTTTACAGTTTATGTGTTATCACCTCCATGAGCTCTCTTACCATAAAAGATGGAGAAATTTAGGCTCTCACCTTTGCTTGGCGAGAAAGTCAGCTTATATTAGTGGGCACAGTATTCTTTTCATCAACAGTTAAAAAGCTAAGCGTGGTTTCAGATGACCAGCTGCAAGTTACATGATATAACTCAAGTCTTCCAAGAATTCACCAATCAAATATTCGAAAACAACTATGAAGCGGACTAGGATACCAGTATCGCAGAATTCGCATAGGGTATTGGGCTCAGCCAAAGATTCTCTCTCCTTACCAAACAGCGGTTAGTTTCAAGTTAGATAAAGATTCATGTCAAAAAAGCGATACTGTAATCCATGATGAATTTAAGCAAACATTTTCGAACGCATTTCACAGTCACTGTGGAATGCAGGTACATCCATTGACGAGTCCCGGACAGGACGAAATGTGCATCCTGGATTCCATTGCTAGTCACCATCCACTAATTAAATTCTAATTATATGCCCAGACATTGTCGAAGCATCTGCGCAAGAAGCCGACATTTCAACGTGAGACCGAGCACTTCGGTCCAGTCAGTAGACACATTTGATTAGACTTTCACTATGAATATAAAATCTAAAACCACTGATTAAAATGATTTATTTATAAATTAAGGTGTCTGAGGTAAAATATCACTAAGGTTTTCATTAGAAACCGAAATTATTCAGACCACAATGCATAACTCAAGCTGTATAGTTTTCACATAACTAATTATATTCCATGAATAACAAATGCACTCAAGTAGTTGACCAGACATTGAATGGTTTGAGCTGATTCAGCATACTAAGCTGAGTCGACTGGAGTATGTTATCAATAGGCTAGACATCAGACAAGCTAAACAGTCGACTGATCTTTAAATCCCTTAGATGTGTGACTAGTTACCTCTACTAGTTGACGCAAGTCGTTTCTAACCATTCATATGGATCAGTTGAGTATATTGTATTTTACACTATCTGAGCTTTCTGCAATAAGATTATCTCTTTTATTTCTCATTCGATAGCTTCATCCAACATTTATGAATAAATCATGGGCTCAGTCATTATTCAAAGACAGTCGGATATTGTCTGATGAATTTAAAGAGAATCCAGAGAAAATACTTGATGATCACTTTAATCGTATATGGAAAAAACGTGAGGTTCAAATGTTACTTGAAGATCGGATCAGTCAGTTAACTGATGACAAAAAGTATTCAAGAAGAAGAAATAACAAAGGCTGTAAAAGAATAAGTATTCATCAAAGAAATATAACTGATGAAGAAAAAGAAAGAAATTGCAAAGGTAAAAATATTTTATTTTGCCGAAAAATTTTGCTTATGGTAATTTTAAATTGAAAAAGTTGCCAGCTATTTTTTGACTAACTTTCGATATGTCAGTAAGCATCTACAGCTACGAATGTGGATATTCAGCTGAGTGTATTACTTTCAAAGTATTTGCTTTATAAACAGAAGAGCTTTTGATACTTTATAAGGAAGTAAATGCAAAACTTATCCCAAGGTAAACCGAAACTTGAAGGATCAAGATTTATTCAGTTTGTTGCAATTTCATCATTTATTTCTTTGGCTACTATTTTATCGATCCTAAGAATCAGCATAAGTGCAATCAGTTGTCATTCATCAGTCCTCTAGTCCAGCCTCATTAGGCGAGCTTAAGGGTATTTATATTTAGCAGCCGATATCATCAGGAAAAACTAATCAGAAGCATATAGCACTGGATAACGTTTATGTTCTAGTATGTGTATATGTGTGTGTGTGTGCCTCCGTGGTCTCTAGCGTCGTATATCATCAGTCGTTTGAAGAATCAAAGCTAAAGGGTTTGAGTTAACTTCAATCGATTGTAATTGTCTGGTAGTCTGAAAATCCTGTGTTTAACCACGGATGATGTTGTGGATGCACTGATGAGCGATTAAAAATTGAGGAAAAAACAACTGCTCAGTGCTTCACTGTTTTTCACAGCTGTTTAGCTAATACTGCTTCATGAGGAAGTGTGCAAAAATGTTTTGCTGAATATTCTTAAACGTATTCACTTGTAAAATCAGTGATCAATTTTAATAATTGGAAAATATAAAGGAGTAGGATTTTTGCCCATGTAAAGCTAGAACTCAGCTATGCACAAGTGGAGAAAATGTAAGCTTTTGGAGCAATATGATTTGGTCCTGTAGATGTAATGCTAGACAGAAGACAGGACGTCACGCTGAAAAGGTCAGTCTACCGAAAACCAACATCTATAGATCAGTAGACTAACTTCAACAGTTGCGTATTTCTAGGTAGGAAAAAAATCCTATTCGTTTTCTATTCTCCAGAATTCGCAGAATTTGCTCTGTAGATACGGTCGACATGGAATTAGGAAGCCTTGACACAACTCTCTTAGATAATGAATATCCTAGGAGGTTTATCGACAGAAACACCAAGAATGAAACCATTCCCTGTCAAATCACAGTGCCAGAGAAGATACTGTTTATGAGTTTGGCTTTCAAAGATGACAGTATTTTTGAAGTAAATAAAAGTCGTTTAGGTAATGTATTAAACACTTTTTTATGCAGCTGACTTACATTTAGTATTTACCAGCCGAAATATGATTCGACAATGCGTCAGGGATAAACTACCGCTTATATCCACCTCCATGTGCATATACTCAATCATATGTTCGTGTGGAGCTGATTACATTGGACGTTGTAAGCGTAATCTGAATAAAAGCGTAGCTGAACACTACGCTGTTTGGTTAATCAAAGGTGAACATAAGATGACAAAGTCTTCAATTTGTGAACACTTTCTGGAGCCAGTTCATTCAACCCCACATGATTTATACTTCAGTGTTATCTACAGGACCAAATCCAATCACTCCAAAAACTTACTTTCTCTCCATTTATGCATAGCCAAAATTTAAATGAACTAAAGAGTTCAGATCATGAATGAAATATTTCGGATATTTCTATTTTATTGAAACTTACTTTTTGTTTTATTCCCCGCTTGTGTCTTATAATTCTAGTTATTTGTGTATGTTTTATTTCCTGTATTGTAAGGCTGTATTATTTCCTTTCCTTTTTATTCTTTAAGGGTCAGGAAACCACTTATTAAAGCATCAGATCAACGGGAATCGTCAAAATCATCGTTTTAACGGGAGCAGGGCAGAAGAATACTGTGCAGTAAATCATAGTCAAGAATTGCTCAGTGAATATCTTGTTCGCTCTAGCCAACATCTTCTTTCTTATATTAATAATAATAATAATAACAGTGACACTGATGATAATTTTTACAAATTAAATTATCAACACGATATCTGTGATAATTACAATAGTGATAATAATACTAATAAAGACATGGAAACTATGAGAAACATACATGGACAAAATATTGGTGAGCATAACCTAACAAACTTAAATGGGATCATCCATGAAACTGTCCGCAGTGTTGATGAATCTGCTTTGACAACGTGCGGGAAGACGGAAAGTTATGAAAATAAGGCTCAGAGAAGTTATCTAAAAAGGTAAAAAGATTAATTATCTTTTTAATTTATCTTGAAGCACTTTACACTCTTAAACTGACCTACACTGAATAAGCTTTCAAAATAGATTCCGTTACTAATTGATACCAGTTAGAGAATTACTGGAAACTAAGAGCTGTTTGGTCCTACTAAGGGACTCTTCAATGGAACTCACTAAAAGGTGTAAGAAGGATAAAGTCTAGTACCTTCCGATCAGAAGCGGTGACCACGTAAGCACTCAAGCATATGGTTGAAATGCAACAGCTACTGTTATTTTAACTTTGGTCATCGCTTTTGGAATTTCAAACAGCCAGTCACATATATGAGTTTCGACAAAGGAACATTAAGGCGTAATCTATCTGAATCGCCTAAAGCATTTGAATAACACATCTCATACAATCTGATCATACACATACTTGCCATAAGAATTTATATGGAAATAATACAGTCTCAAGGGATGAAGTAATAGACATAGGTCAAGTTAAAAAGATACACTGAAGGTCAAAATAACAATAGAGATTAATAAATCAATAAAGGGAGATGACAGAAGATTTATTTTGGTGTCGAAACAAAATTAACCAAAAAAGGTTTAATGTGTTGACAAACTGCTTCCCGGCACATTAAGGTGGTTTAAACTTCCTAACTGTGAGGACTTCCACAAACTTTAGAATAAACTCCAACGTGTCTAACAGGTAGGTTTAAAAGACGTATCACCATCAACTTTATGACCTATATGTTTAGTGTTTCGGGCCAAATTAAACTTTAAGCACCACTAACTGCCAATGGAGTTCGACCGCACCAATGACCTTGAAGCACTTACTGAGCAAGTTAGTGAAACCTAGCAAATTATGTTGTCACCATTGATAAAATATGCTCATCGAAGTGTTGTGTTACTCATTAGGATATCTGGCAAGTTCCAGCTTACGTTTGGGAAGGATTAAGTTACGCTTTAAGCAAAGGACAAGTTATGATTAGGTTAGCCTAATAAAGGCGACACTAGGTTTCATTCGAGTTGGATGACAGTTAGTTTAGGGATATTTTCACGTTAGGGTTGAGTTCAGGAAAGATTCGGGTTATTGTTAGGATTTGGAGACCCAAATGATTTTATGTATAGAATGTAGTTAAATTACTCTGTTGATATAAGAATAAAACTTGTGCATTGCACTGTGGTAGAGTATAATTCCATCGTGGGTGAAATTTATTTTGATAAAGTCTCACAGTGTTATACAGCAATATTCACTGATGACAACGTTTCGAGCACAATATTTGCTCAGTATATATTACTGTATAACACTATGAGAATTTATCAGAGCAAATATGACCCACAATGGAATTACACTCTGTTAATACTCCACCCTAAAACTGAGAGCTATTTTTATCACATATGAGAGGAAAGTATCTTCCGTACCACTTTTATAGAGATTTTATGCATTTTTTCATAAATATTTGTATTCCATACACATTGGTGCGTTCGAGGTCATTCGCTTAAAGTTTAACTTTGCCGTGTTTCGCGATGGAAGGACTGTGTCGTCTGTTGTCACCATTAATAGGTCCGAAGAAGGCACTTTCTCAATTATCTAAATCTTAGCTGCACAGAAAGTCTTTTTAACCACAGCTCTCACTGTTTGTCTAAGTATCAAGCTGCAGCTATCACTCTACATAGATGATTATCCCTTAAAGCTATATTATTCGCGTATAAATTGCTATGACAAATAAGCGTGTGATCAGATTCTAAGAGATGTGTTGTTTTGGCGTAACTCACGACATTTTCAGGCCAGTTGCAATATTAAATTTTGACCAGTGACATTAGACTAAATAGTATGGAATATATACAAAAGACTGATTCAGTGTAAATCAGTTTGTGCTTCTTTTTCCTAAATTGTATTATGTAATTCCAACTAAATTACAATTTATTTTAGATATGATGGAGGGGAGTAGTAGCTAAAGTGAATGACATGACATTTGTTCTTTTAGCTGCAAAGCCTTCACCCTGTCTTTCTAGACAACATCTTCAGTGTGTATTTCATTTTGACGTATGGCGTTGAACCATCCAACTCAGAGATTCATTTTATTGGTGTCAGTAGAGTAATGAATACAAGTTGATGCCTTATAAAATGGACGACATTTCAAAGGTTGTCAGACATATACATCATATTCGCAGTTTACAAATCACTTTGTAATTGCCATCTCGCCCAAGTAGCCAGCCTCAAATCAGGTGATTTGAACTGACTCAGTTCACTTAGCAGAGTTATACCAGGCACACCACTGATGAGCTTGGTCACAAACGAGCGAAACAACGGTCTAGTGCTTAGATTATTTCAATCTGGATAACAAGCAGTACTGGTTGATTTGAGTAATATACAACCACTGATCTTAGTCAGTTAGCAGTATATAGCTGCCAGATGTACTGTGATTTCCTTTAAAAAAAAATGAAATTACCATATATACATTGTAGCCAGATACTACGAAAAACAACAACTTTTGTGAAATAGAGGTTTCGGGTTTCATTAATTTGCTTTAAAGTAAATATAATAGTTCCAGTTTTTTATTCCTTTACGTTCCCCAGTGGAACATAGGGCTGCTTCAAGCTTGTAGCTTGAAGTTTCTGTAGCAGTGATGTTTATTTTTACAGGATGGGGTTGCTAGCCTCATCCCCAACCTTTCCTCTTTGCCAGCTTTTTTTGCTTCTGGCTTAGCGAGGTAAAGGAGTGCGTCCGTGGTCGGGGATCGAACCTCGGACCATGTTCATGGTCGGCAAGCATCCTAACCGCTATGCCATCAACGCACGCAATAGTTCCCGTAATACTATTAAAATTATTACTTTCTGTTTCCGTTCCTTTGCGTTCTGAGCAGAATATAGGGCTACAAGATTGCACTTTTAAATTTTTGCACAGACTGTGGTTACTATCCGAATACATAGACCACCGTCTTTCACATGCTTGTTATGGGTGACGTGACGTCTGGGACTGTATCGATCGGCAGTCGAATCAGAGCCACATGAATCTGATTAATGAACATTTTCCCTCTGAACCACTGTCGTATAATATGATTGTTATTTGCATCGCTTATTTACATTTCATTAAAAATTTATACATTTGGAATATTCTATAGTAATGGGATGATTTCAAGCAAGCATATATATATATATATATATATATATATATGTATATATATGTACCAATATAGTATTAGTTTGTAATAATTGAAATTGTCTGCTTCCATACGGATATGCTTCAACGGATTACTCCCCTTTTTGTTTAATATAGCATAGTAATTAACGCAAAGAAGGAAAAATGAAACAGTAAACAAAACTATTAAATCTCTGTTTAACACTACAATTTGTAGTCTTACTTTTAAATTCAGTTAACGCGGGCTAAACATAACTACAACTAAGAATAGAATAATTCATAATTAAATAATTTCTGGGTCTTTGAAAATAATATATATATATATATATATATATATGTAAAGACAAGGAAACTAAAGTAGAGGAAGTAAAGGAGAAACTTTGGGAATTAACTGTCCACGCATATAGTACATTGTCCACATAGTACAACAGTATTGTATATCTACATGAACTGTCCACTTTGTTCCCTTTTTTCTTCGTGTCTTTTATCTTTATTTTTAGAGAGAGAAAATAAATACCAACAAAAGTTTTTTCTTCCATCGTTTCTTGGTTTTTTCTTTGAATTTTCATTTGCTTCTTCTTATTATTATTATCTATATCCGCATGATTTACTTTTCATTCCCTTGAGAATTAACTTGTGTTCCGTTGTTATATCTCTTTTACTAGAATAAACTAATTAAATATTAACAAGTGGACAGTGAAAGGAAGAAATTAATTTTTATGTAGTTTTAAACCTTTTAAAAAGGAGAAAGAAAAGAAAACAAGTGAAGATTACCTCTCTACAATCTATGGCTTGATTATCTGTGGTTATTTCCATCATTTGATTGACAGACAGCCGTTTCGTTCTAGTTTGGGACTCTTCGTCAGTCCACACCCACAACCAGGGTTCGGAGCCAGGACCTTCTGGTTACAAGGCGAGCTCGTGGAACATTAGGCCGAAGTCGAAGTAGTCACACTACGTCATGAAGTGGCGAAATTTGGAATTCATGGACTAGCAGTTGGATTGGGTCCCAGTGACTCAATTTTCTACGAGCTCGCCTTGTAACAAGAAGGTTCTAGGTTCGAACCTTAGGGGAGGGGGGTGCATACTGTGAAGAATCCCAAACTTGGACGAAATAGCTGTCCAGTACTCCTAGGTTTTCCGGTGGTTCTCCAACCTAATGACTTGTGTTAACTTTATGAAAGGATAATAGCTGTAGAATAATGTTTTTTCTTGTTGTCATAAGTAGAATTCTTAGTGTTATTCAAGTAAGCAGTTCAGTGTATGTAAATTTGATCCAGTTCTCACCAGATTTTTGTGACTGTAAAACTTAATTTAAACGCTGAATTGTGGTAGGAACCGAATTTAGGCGCTTTTGATAGTCAGGATTGTGGTCTATCGACTAAACTGCGAGTCTCGGCCTTTGACCTGGTGCCAGTTATATTGAAATCGATTGGATGGTCATCCAGGTAATTACTGCTTATTTATCATAATATTATTCATACGAATCTTACTATTAGATAGTATGACAATGATGTCACTACTGTAAGTGACTACTGCAAAGAATGAGGCATAATTCACACTGTGTATAATGTGCTGGTTCTTATTTCAATCCCCATCGAAACTATGATTACTAACTGGCTATTAGTACAAAGCTAGAACTTAACAGCTATCCATTACTCTTTAACTTTCGACAATATTTTCTGCTGAATTTCGCTCGAAACCATTCATCTTAAAAATAAACGAAGTTTCATGAACTTAACGTCTGTCATTTCTGAATTGAGTAATAACTGACTAAGACAAAGTAGGCATCTCTACGTCATAGAACTACTTTGGAAACAATTGTAAAGAAATGCCAATTTACTTGATGGTTTGACTTTTATGGGAAGAATACCTCAGTATATTGGGAATACTCAGAGTAAACTAAATTATATATATGTATATATGATTGTTCCCTGGTGTTCTATTCAGTAACCAACTTTATTTGTGTGGAGAACTATATCTTCATCAATGCAGTTTTTTGAGGTTTTTTATTCCTATACGTTCCCAGTGGAACATAAGGCTTCAAGCTACAGACTTGAAGTTTCTGCAGCAGTAGGGATTATTTTCACGCGAAGGGGTTGCTAGCCTCATGTTCAACCTTTCTTCTTTGTCAATCTTATTACTGGCTAAGCGAGGTAAAGGAGGAGTGTGCTGGCCAGGGATCGAACCCCGGGCTACCTGCATGGTTGGGGAGCATTCTACCGTTGTGCCATTGACGCACGCATCAATCCAGTTCCTGTTTCTTATCTCCGTAGTATATCTGAATACCAAGTTTCTTATTAACTAGTTTATGTACACAGACTTCGACCATTCTGTAGATGATATAGCCTTCGGAAGACTTTTCTCTGAAACCTACTAAGTGAGGTTTAAAAGTGCATCGGCTGAGAGTTGATTATAGACCATAGAGCCACCCATGCGAGAAAAAATTTTCTACTTCACTTTAATTTCTATTTTATGGGGTACTGACTTCCCTTTTTTACTGAATAGTATTTAAGCTGATTAACCTAACTGATATTATTAGACAAACATTGATCGAAGACTTGTGATGGTATTTAAACTCGACTCCCCACATTGAAATTAATGTAACTATCATAGAAATTTCAAAACAAAAATGCATAAGAAATGTTGCTGACATGTTTTTAAGGCACAAAACGATTTTCAAGTGATTCTAGAGTAAGCATGGATTCGGTCACTGAAATTGTCTTGAAATTTAAAACATTTATCGACATATCCTTGAAAACCAATACTTGAAAATTAATCTCTATTGCTGACTGGAGACTGACTACAAGGTGAAGTTGCTTGAAGTCTTAGTAGGAAGTTATGACCAATGGGATCCATTAAGTTGTATGTGACGAGAAGTGCTCACCAATAACACTGGCTAGCTGATGCGCTATATGTTACGAAATAGCGGAAGCAAGATATCACAGGCCCTTAGACTTCATACTATTGACTGAATGATCTACGAGTTCACCTTGTAACCACTATGTCCTGGATTCAATTCCTAGTGGGATGATGAATGATGTGTACTGTGAAGAGTCTCGAACACGGACGAAACATCTGATTTTCAAATGGTTCCCTAAATGAAGTCAATTCTTGATCAGTCATGAAATCAATGAAATCTTTGCATATCAATACTTGAACACTATTTCAAAAATACATATGAACACGGAAAGCAAAGACCAGATGAAAAGTATAATCTAGTTTCAATTTTTGTTTTTCATTAGGGTGTGAAATTTCTAACTACGGAATTGTAACAGATTGTTGACCAGTAGTAGCACTAGCTGTTGTAGTCTCAGTGGCACTGGACACCATTTTATTTTTGACAGGTTTAATGAAGCCATAAATCATTTTATTCCAGTTATATTTATAGTGTCTTATTTAAATCCAAGTGCATATCTCTCTCTCTCTCTCTCTCTACAATAGTGGTAACACAATTGAACACAACACTTAAACAAGAATGATATACCTGATTGACTGAACCTTGTGTCATCTTGACAGATAGTTTTTTTTTAAAAACAACAACAACAAACAAACGAAGACAGTTATTCACTTTTATAGAATTTATGCACCCTGTTATTTCCAGTGAATACAATACCCGCCCTCCCACCACCCTCCCAACCACAGATTAAATCATACTGTCATTCTCAAGTTGGAGAATAAACAAGGTTAAACAGGAATGAAAACTTTGTTCTGTGTTGTTCCAACCTCTCTCTGAGTCTCTCTCTCCACCCTTCCCTCCATCTTTTTATTTGGTATATTTTTTGAAGACGCCAGGGTTTTTTGTTTTTCTCTCAAATAAAGTGAAAATGGCTATTAAAAATCCGGTTGGCAATTAATAAATAAATAAATAAGCATTCATAGACTGGATAATCTGAAGCCATTTAATATGCATACAAAATAGTCTATAACTGAGATGTATACACACTATACCCTACTGACTTCATCTAATCAAGTTTTTTTTTTATAATTTTTTGTTGAAAATAAAGCTGAGATAAAATGATGATGACACGCAGTAAAGTAACACTAATCTGGATTTCCTGTTAACTGAAGATAATTGACATGTTGTACCCTCTCTATCGTCAACTTTTAAATCGATACGATTAGTAGATAGGATAGGAAAGGCATTGTTTTAACTTGTGTCAGTGATGACAGTTATGGAATGGATTGAAAGAAAACTTGTAAGTGCCAATTAGTTAACTTGTGAAGAAAAATGGATTCAGTTATTCATCTGAATACTTGTGTGTTTCAACATTGTACTGAATCTTAGATAGAAATGTACATTCGATTAAACTCTAACTGCCAATTAGGCAGTTCGTTGGGGTAGTTCGGGGTTCCACCCCCGGCCGACGCACTCCTTTATTACTCGCTAAGCCAGTAGTAAGACTGGTAAAGAGGAAAGGTTGGGCATGAGGCTAGCAACTCCATTCAGCAGAAATAATCACCAGTGCTAAAGAAACTTCAAGATTCTAGCTTGGAGCCCTATGCTCCACTGGGAACGTAGACGAATAAAGAAACCCAATTAGGCATATCAATTTTAACAAATTTTTAACTTATTCTGCAAGTCATTATCTACCAAATTACTTCAAATTAATCCTCAGATAAAAGCGAAGCCACTGTACTAGGATTTATAATATCAGCACCTAGACCGAACATTTCGGTCCAATCAATCAACAGGAAAGTCAAAAATTGAGTTAAAAGCAAATAATAACTGAAACCCATTGCACAACAAGTGGCTCTCGCTGCTCAGTTGGTCCTGTGGATAACTCTTTGACGTTTGGAACAATGAGTACTGGGTTCGTCGAGCCTCAGTGGGGAGACTATCAATCACTGAAGAATACAAGCACATCTTGCTGACGGACCCCAAATGAAATAGAATTAGCGTCTAAGATTCCACTGTCAGTCACCATCCACCCAATCACTTCAAGTTAGTCCTCAGACATCGTCGAAGCGTCCTCAGTAGGAATCAATATCTGAACAGAAGTTGAACATCTCCATACACTCAGTCAACAGAAAAATCAAAAATTGAATTTTTAAAAATAAGAATATATATTTACTTTCTAGTAAATAGTGAGAACGAGAAGCTTTTTGAAAAACTGCATCACTCATCGATGTAGGTTCCCTTATAATATGAGTAGCAATGTACATTTTCTATAAAGTAATTCTGTACCTTATAAATATTCTTTAATAGACTTCAATTAAGACATACTTTATCATTTAGTGTTATGCAACAGAAATGTATCTTTTACTTCTGAGGATTCATTAAAGTCTTCAAACACCAAAATTATACTGAAGATTAGACTTTTCTGTTCCTTTACCTTCCCAGAAGAACATAGGGCTTCAAGTTAGAGGCTTGAAGTTCCGGTAGCAGTGGTGATTATTTTTGCAGGATAGGGTTGCTAGCTTCATGCCCAACCTTTCCTCTTTACCATTCTCACTACTGGCTTAGCGAGGTAAAGAAATGCGTCCGTGGCCGGGGATCGAACCCCGGACCTTGTGCATGGTCGACGAGCGTCCTAACCGCTATACCACCGACGCACAAGATTAGATAACACGGAAGTATTCTTCACTTACACGTGAAGACGATTTCAAGTATTATTGTGCTCATTCATCTCACCTTCATTGGTATCAGTATAAACTGAAATATATTTTAATAATTGAATACATTATCCTTTAGTCAGACATTACTTTGCATTTTATGCAAAACAATGATTAATTTAAAACGGAGTATCTGTTTATTAAAAACAATTTCGCTAAAAAAAATTCTACTTATTTAAATTAAATTTTGAGTTTTTATTTTCATTATTCTCTTAGGCGTCATTCATATTTCGACTATTCAACTGGTACAAAAAACAGTGATAATAATGATAATAGCATTCGGCAACGCTGTATTTCAACTCAATCATTATCGATCTCATTATTTAATATGACTGATAACAGAGTAGATTGTCTGCAGAAAAATCCCATAATTATCGTGGTCTATATATTAGAAGATACACTGCCGTATGTAATTGTTTGTAAAGATGAACAATGGAGATTAAAAGCATTGAAGCAGAAAATTCTACATGAACTGCATTCAAATAAACAAAAACTCAGAAATCAAGTAGACGATGTACTTCAAATGTTGAATCAACGGTATGTTTAATAACTGTATAGCTTTTAAATGCTAAAGGAATTACTGTTTTTTTTGTCTAATCTGTTAAAGATGTTCATTAAAAACTTTAAAAGGATTACAGTGAAGAAAGATTATTCTTCTCGATAACTTCTTCATCAGGTTTTACAGTTATATGTCTGTAATAATTAACTGAATTATTGCTATTAGCAACAATAACGTTTTAAACAACTTTGAATCAACAATATCAATAAGGCACGGTTCAAAATTATCTGTTACTGATAGTGTGCATCAATGTAACACTAAAATGAATATAAAATAAATTAAGAACAACAATGCAGCATTTATAAATTTATGAGTTAATAGATTACACAACAGACCACAGGAGCGATAGTGGGTAGACTTGTTTCTTTCTTCTTACTGCTAAATTCCAGATGTTTTAAGCTAACTGTTATGGTTTCTGCTAACTGGAATATTCTATATGTAGAGGTCTTTAGTAATTTATTCACTACACGGGAGATGATAGAAGATTCTTCATCGTTGACCAGTTTCAACTAGATGTTCTGATATCGAAATGATGATGACTTTTACTGCACGTTTATTTCACCAAATTGATAGACGTTCGCGAGTGTAAACACTAAGTTCTTAGAGCAACGGGAAATGTTAAAGGCTCCACAGAAGCAGCTCAATTGATGGATATTTAATCTAGTGTCTACTGATGCATATTATAGGTGCTTTTGAACCACAGTCTATTGCTACTGCTAATTCAAAGTTATTTAAAACATTATTATTATTTATATCAATAAGGTCGTATTTGCCCTGAATTATTTGAGTAAATACGACCGTTAGGTCCCGTTATTCCCCGTTTATATGGTCTGCCAAAAGTGCACAAAGAGAACGTACCACTACGTCGAAACTTGGATATGAAAAATTCCCCATATCATGCTACTGGTAAATGACTCGCAGACATCCTCCTACCCATCAGAAATAATCTCTGCAAGTATAGTGTTTTAGATTCATTTGAATTCGTCGATTCAATAATTGATGCTAATTTATGCAAGAAGAAAATGATATCCATGGATGTTACATCCATTTTCATCAATGTTCCTATCACTGAAACTATTTGCTTTATATGCAAATTCATTGAGGATAATAATAGATTAGTTATGGAGAATGTTTACATACAATAGAGAATTCTCAACGCATTTTACTTGCATAATATTTACTCTACGTACAGGATCCTCAAGAAAAGTAAAAGTAATTGTGGTTTGCCTAAATCATTGGGCTCTCTGAATTTCTGTCAAACATAGTGGGAAAAATTTTCCCCATTCCTAATTGTTTTAGTCATTCAAAAATGTCCTTAGATAGCGAAAAATACTCAAGCACATTTCTGATTGGCTTTCAACCCATTTGATGTATATTTCTTGAAGGAGTCAGAGGGAAAATATCACGAGGGATTGGTTTTAGTTTCAAAACCGAACAGTATCATATCATGTGATATTCTGTCAATTACTATTTCACTTGAGGATCATGTACACTCTGGAAATAAAGGTGTTATTACTAATGCACGAAATAATAATCGACAGTATATCATATGACTAGCGTCGGTGGCACAGTGGTTAGGACGCTCACCAGCCATGCACATGGTCCGGGGTTCGATCCCCGGCCGCCGACACACTCCTTTACCTCACTAAGCCAGTATTAAAGCTGGTAAAGAGGAAAGGTTGGGTATGGGGCTAGCAACCCCATCCTGTAAAAATAAACACTTCTACAGAAACTTCAAGCCTCCAGCTTGAAGCCTTATGTTCCCCTAACAACGTAAAGGAATAAAAAAATCATATTACGCAATTCTGCCCAACCTAAAGCAAGATTCAGTCACTTGCAACATTATTTCTTTATTTCTTTCCAGAAGTTTACAGCAAGAATCTGAAAGCTAACTTAAATAAATATGCATGAGTAATTGTTGCGATTAAAGGACATTAGTGGAAAATTAAAAGAAATCGAGAAAAGCGTGATGCATTATGTGGAATGGAAATGTAAGCAATCCAAGGATTCAAACAAAAAGCAGTAGAAATCGATAATGCCGTTTTAAATAATTTAAGAAGCAAAACTGAAGAATATTTTGACTGGAAACTAGAAACTAGTATGATGTGCCTAGTTCTGTCTTTGGTGCAGACTGAATTCTATCAGTCAGGTTTATAATATTTCCACTATTCTAGGTAGCTCTCCATCACGGTGCACACTGATCTGATCATTCCGTAACATCTCTGACTGTAGTGTTGGCTGGCGCGTGTTTGAATCTCACAAGGGACATGAGTTCCTTCAACGTTGCAGATACGCCTTGCTGATGAGTGCCAACTAGAGCGAAACCTGCGTCGAAGGCTTCCTCTGGCCGATCGTTTCCATCCATCTAATATCATCACATCCTGAGAATCTTAATAAGTGAAAATAAACAAAATGGAGACTGTGAGTTTATGTAGGGATTTGGATTAATTGAAATGTAGGTTTTTTTTGACCTGCCAATAGGATTAAGACAGATGCATCTGAAAAACAGAAATCACTGGACACCTGTTTCATCGAAATCCCTACAAAAAATCATAATCTAAGTATCAATCTCCAGTTGATTAATTGCAACTGGACGGATATCCTGAAAAGTTATAGCCAGTGGGGTGGGGTCACTACATTAAGGCGGAGGGGATGCTCACAGAAGCCACTGGTCGTCCATCGTACTATATCACGAATTGACAGATGCTAGAAAACTCACAGGTCATCTAATTTCTACCCACATCGCCAAATGGCCAGCGAGTTTAGTCTCATAACCTAAAGGTCCCAGGTTTGACTGCTGATAGAGTCTTGGGTGTATTCTGATAAAAACTTCCAAACACTAAGATGAAACAGCTATTCATCACTTCAATGATCTCTAACTGCTGTTGAATCGTGAAGAAATCTAGACTGAAATCGAAGAAAGTTTCAATGACCTTATTATTCTATTAGAAGGCAGTTTCTTTTGAGTTTTTATAATCTTCCCAAAATTACATTGAAAATAAAGCGAAATGGTGTATCACTGAAATGTTTCCTCCAAGTATTAAAATAAAATAAATCACAGATTACTTGAGTATTTCTCTTTTAAATAAAAAAAAACTACACTGTAATCTGTATTCACTTACTGTTTATTTTTATTTTTTTTATTCTTTATTTAAGATTTTATTTCAAAACTGAATCAGATGAATTCGATTCCAAAGCTGTCTACCAAGAAGTTATAGATGATAATGAAGATATTCCCCGGTGGAAAAATTTAATATGGGTAAAAATTGAAGATGGACATAGTTATTGATCGTCACCAAAAAAATCTTCACATCTACAAATATTTAAATGACTCATCTGCAGTATTTTCTACTATACATAATTCACATTGTATATAATCCATAGATAAAATAAAGCTTGTATTAGAGATTAATTCCTTTTGTGAATGATAACTGACTACAGGAGGCAGCTGAGTGAAGTTCTAGTAGAAAGTTGTGACTAATGGGGTTCATCGCTGGTGACATTGGCTGGTGGTCACACTTTATATCGCGAATAGGTAGAAGTTAGAAACTACTGGACATTGAATTCCATCCCAGTGGCTAAATGGCAGGTATGTGAGCTTGCCTTGTAACCCGAAGATCGTGGGTTTTGATTCCTGGAAGGACTATGTGTCTGTACTGATGAAGAGTCCCAGGCTAGAATGAGATAACTGTCTTGTAGTCCGTGGTTTTCAGTGGTTTTCTAACTGAGGTCAGTTCGTGATTATTCTTTTAAACGGAATCTAGTCAAGACTCTGTACTATAGAGCGAGGAGAATATGCTCTATAGAGAAACTAGAGGAGGAGTTTGTGTTCCTTGAAAAGATATTGAAGAGAAATGGGTATCCTCAAAAGTTCATCAACAAGTATGGAAGATCTGAAGTCACAAATGTAAAACAAATCACAGTGGGTAAAAAGCCAGTCTACGTTCAGCTTGACTATAAAGGTGAAAACATTGCAGCGATGATCAACAGAAGGCTGAGTACATCACTAGCCATAGCCTATCCTGCAGCCAAGCTCGTTCCCATCTATCGAACAACTTGCTCTTTGGTGCAATCAAAAATCGATAGATATCCTTCTCATGTTACCTCCAACTGTATATACAAATTTACGTGTATCTGCGGGAGCAGTTACATCGGAAGAACAGAAAGAAGGGCATATCTACGATTTTCTGAACACGTACCAAAAAGCTTACGTCTAAAGGGAACAAATGCTCTAAACAGTGCCATCGCCAGGCATCTCCTCGACACGGGTCATGAGGTGGACGTCGAAAAATCGTTCAAAATTATCAATAGGCAAAAGAGCTCAATTCTCCTTAAGTTTGCTGAAGCGATTTCTATCAAACGCTTGAAACCTGATCTATGTGTTCAGAAAGAAGCAGTTATTAGTCTTTCCTTGCCTTGGTAACTGGATGCTTTTTTTCTCTCATCTGATTACGTAATCTTTGTCTTTAACCTCACCCTCCCTTTTATAATCTGTAATTTTGCTTGTCTCTTGTTTCTATGATTTGAGCTCAACTCAGTTCATTGTTATCTAACTTACTAGTCACTATGCATCTAACGCATATCTCATCTTTATTACGTAACTCTTTTACCATTTTCTGCATACATCTATTTTGTTTTAACTTGAACTGCCTGTGTGAAAACTATATAAGCGCAATCTTCTTAGCACTGTTTACAAATTGTGGAATTTTCTGTCAACTGACAACATGTAAAATTTGCAAGTATATTCAAACATGTCTGTACTTAAACCTCATAATTTATTTAGGCTGTAAGCAGCTGATGAGAAGCCAACGAAATAAATGATGGTGCCACATTATTCTGCTAAAACTGTAGTTCTTGCTTTGTTCAAATTCATTAAGGGGAATAAATGTATGAAATTATTCTTTTAATCCATCAAATCTCTGCGAAATAACACTTGTAACATACTTAATAAGTGTGTATTGAAAACAAAACAATATTAGTCATTTAAGTTCACAAAGCATTAATCCGCGTGATGATTTTGATGCGTAATGAATTTGTAGTGAAACTTAAGGAAAAGAAAACTCATATGGTTGATTTTGTTAAGCAACGCAGAAAGTAAATCGCCATTCAAACTTTCATTCGACAATTTCATATCATTCTGAAAATTGTTCTCTTATCAGTTGTTGGTTCATTTGAAAAGCTTGATTATATCTATATGTAACCGTATGTCTTGACAGACTACTCACTGTGTATTTTATTAGGAATTCTTAATCCCTGCACTTGTGCGTCGGTCGCATAGTGGTGAGGACGTTCGTCAACCATGCACATGGCCACCGACGCACTCCTTTACCTCTCTAAGCCAGAAATAATGCTGGTAAAGAAGAAAGGTTGGGCATGAAGCTAGCAACCCCATCCCGTAAAAATAAACACCATTGCTACGTAAACTTCAAGCCTCTAACTCGAAGAAGCCCTATGTTCCATTGGGAAAGTAAAGGAATTTAAAAAAGGTGGGATAATCCGAAATCCAAATATCGGTGTGAATGTATGGGTTTCCCGTAAACATTAGTGTTTAATTTCCAGTCTTCTTTCATTTTTACTCTACAGTCTAGCACTGGAAGCTCCCCTTCCTGACTTTCAAATTCATGAGTGAATTGAGTTGCCTCTACCTTTGAGCTGATGTGTTCAACTAAACACTGCTACAGAAAATTCAAGGCACTAGCTTGAAGCCCTATGTTCCACTGGGGAACGTGAAGGAGAAAAAAAATCCTTGCACAGAGGAAAATGTTTCCTTACTGAAAGATGGTTGCACTGAAACTGAATACACAATAAGTCTCAGTGAATAGCATTCTTTACATCGTGTTCAGTAGGAGATATTTGTAGTAGTGTGGCGTGTGATACTGACAAGATTTCATAATCACTATAATACTGTTCTATAAGAGGCTTAATTAACAGAATGATGTACTTCACTGAAAATAGGAGAAATGAGGATCATTGTGAAAACAGTAGAGAAAGCACAAAACGAAGACCAAATACTACTGTGTTTTGCTGTTACAGCAGTAGTAGCTGTAGCAGTGTTAGTAATGAGATTGTAGAAAGTGTTCCTCCTGCGTATACAGAGAAAAGCAGAATAATGCAAACTAACACTTCTACAATTTTTCAAATAATTAATTAGTGAATCACTAGCTTCCTGTTTTAAATGTTCGGTTGTTAAACAGTTGGTGGTGAGTTCTAGCCCCACTTCACTTACAGAGTTTCACATAACCGGGGGATGTAATTAGTTATCATACTGTCTGGCGTGAATCATTGCCCATAAAGTGCAAATATTAGACATTTTTGAGATAATTGGTTTGAAGAAATTGAGAGATGAAGGTGTATACCAGGTGTGTAGTTTTACATATCAAATTATTATCATTAGAGTCATACTGTTGAACTGTTTTTAGAATTATTTAAATGAAGTTATAATTGATAGCATAGTTTCAAATGATCTCAAGGGGATACATACTATCTTTGATTTCTTATTTGTTGGTTCGATATTAACTACGGCGTTTTGTGAAATATGAAGAAGACTTCGTGTAGAATATCAAGGATTAACGACCCTTGATAAGGTAAATTAACAGTTTTCAATGTAAATCACTGAAGAAAACAAAAACGATAGGTTATTCAAAATAAATAGTTCTCACTGAATTTTTGTGAAACCATTAGATTTCATTTCGGGTAACATCAACATTATCCACCACTTAAGGTTTTTGAGTAAGGCAAGATCAACAGGTTTTGAAGAATAATACTGTACCATCATTTATTTCGTCGGTTTCTCAACAGTTGCTTACAGCCTAGATAAATTATTGTTAAATTCATGTACAGAAAAGTTGTAACATACTTGTAAATTTTACATGGTGTCAGTTGACTGGAAGTTCCGAACTTAGTGAACAGTGCTCAGAAAGTAACTTAAGGCTTTTAAGATGGTAATAAATAGTAACTTCCCAGCTTCATTCCTTCCACCGACGTACTGGGGGAACGAAGTAGTGGTCAGTAAGCAATGAACTGATCTTCTCTACTAATTACTGACTAATTGCGTGATGCATTCTTCGAAGTTATAATTCAGTTAATGACCAGTGCAAGGATAATTATCACTAATATTTCGTACCTTAATCGCCCTAAAGTAAACTGATATGTTAGAAATTATAAAACACAGGGAGGTAACTTTTTGATTTGATAACTAAATAGCTTTTGAACAGACTACTTATGATTTCATGGATATGTACTGCCGAAAAGTTTCAACCTATGCTTCCTGGATTACAATGGTCTTCTAACTGACATAGGTTGTTTCTGAACAAATCTCTGTCTCTCTCCGTGGTGTTTGATATTTATATGTATTGAACTCAGAAATATCCTGAAACAATCCCTGAATGCTTCATCATTGATCGATTTTCATTTGCTTTTGCAATCTGTACGGACGTTTATGTGAATTTGATTTCTGATTGTTTTATAGTTTACTTATCTATGCATCTTGAGTAAAACTGCAAATGCACAGAATGTAAGTAATTAAATCCAAGAGAAATTTTCTTGACACAATTAATAACATTTTTCAACTCTATAGTCTGCCAGTGAATAAAGTGACTTTATATCGTTGCTAGCCAGGAACTAGTGACAATCGTCGTAATGTCATGAGGCACTGTCAGTTGATTTAGGTTTAAAAAAGAGTTACGAATGATAAAATCAGAAGAAGATACCAATCCTCGAAATGTTTGATTATTTTTATGAGTCTGATATGGAGATGTATACTACCCGGTTTGGAGCCACCAAGATGGTAGAAATCAATGGTTGACGACTATTGGTGACATGGCTGAAACTCGTTCTCGGTGGCGCACCACTAAATGTCTCTGTATGTGGTATCGTAACCACAATTCTCTGTAAAGTTCCATCCTGAAGATTCATTTCACCTCAGGTTTTTCATTAAGTTAAGTTGATGCTTCTTAAATCGCTGTTGTCCTTACTGATCACTAGTGTTGGAGCAAAGTTCTTCCAGCATCAGTGGATCAATGAAATTATAAGATCTCGAATCTTGTACTAAAGTTGACTTACTGTGATCATGCTTGGTCGCTTTACAAATATTTATATAACCGTTCATTTTGTTGATAAACTGCTCCTAGATACTTTTATACTCAATAAATTTCAAATGAGAGCAAATATCATTTGAAGTTAAAGATTAGATTAGCTATGCTTATAAACTTGTACATCCGTTGTTCAGCGGAAGAGTGTGCACCAGCCGGGCAGGTAGTCGAAGTTGGATTCCCAGTCGATGGACTCTTCAGTAATATTTAGCTTGTAGTATGTCTGGTAAACGTTGAAGTTTCTGTAGCAGTTTGGTTAAGTTTTTGGGATGGAGTTGCTAGCACCACGCCCCAATCGTCCCTCTTTATCCGGGCTTGAGACCGGCTAGAAAACTAGCGAGCTAGTAATCTGGGCGAGGTTCGCGGATGATTTATGTTTGATGTCACACAAAATCGAAAACTTACAAGCGAAAACCGACCGACAAACTGGTCGAAGAAGCACCCGGCGAAGACAGGACCCCAGGTGAACATATACAAGATGGAGGTTACAATAGCAGCAACATCCAGCGCCAAT